ACTGCAGCACCGCTGCAGAGGAAAACGCACCATCAGACCTTCAAACACGTCTCTGTGTGGATCAGTGCTGGAGGGGTCAGAGTTCACTGACCATTTCCTGGCTGCTGATCCGGCTCTTTATTTTCAGCTGTTTGAAAATATAGTTGATGATGATGATGGTGATGATGATGATGATGGTTTAAAGGTCAATCGGAGGGAAACCATCGTCCTCCTTTAACCTAATATCTCAGCGTCTGACATGAATGCTGATTCTAATGTCAGATTAAATAACGGCGATGGGAAGTGACGCTCTATCCTCCATGTTCACTCTGTGGCAGGAAGCTCCAGTGGTGCTGGACGTTCCTCTGGGCGTCATCAGCCGCGTGGAGAAGATGGGCGGAGCCTCCAGTCGAGGAGAGAACTCTTACGGGTTGGACATCACCTGCAAGGTTGGTTTTTATTTCAACGCCTTTTCAACAGTCTGCTCCACCAGATCCTCCGTCCTCCTCACCTGTCCAGGTGATTCTCATTAAACAGTGATGGTCCTGTTTCTCTGCAGGACATGAGGAACCTGAGGTTCGCCCTGAAACAGGAGGGTCACAGCAGGAGAGGGATCTTTGAGATGCTCTTCAAATACGCCTTCCCTCTGTCACATGGCCTGGTGAGTCCTCCTGCCCTGGATTAGACCCAGACTATAGCCTCCACCCAGACTATGGCCTCCACCCAGACTATAGCCTCCACCCAGACTATGGCCTCCACCCAGACTATAGCCTCCACCCAGACTATAGCCTCCACCCAGACTATGGGCTGTAGAGGTCCTAACAGGATAATCCAGGACTGATGACAGAGCGGTTCCTGATCTCCTGCTCCTTTCAGATCAGATTAAAATGAGCTACTATGCTGATAGAAGGAGCCGTTCCTCTCTGCAGCTCTGCTAGCAAACGCAGCGTCCATCACATTGATCCTGAAACAAGTTCCAGGTGTTTCACTCCGGTTTCTGTCACACAGTTAGCGTCAGCGCTAACTGAACGCTGTAGACCAGAGGTCAAGGGTTAATGGTCCGGATCCAGACCCACCTGCTGTGTCTGGATCCGGTTCAGGTGTTTGAGAAAATATGGGAATCAGGAAATTATCTATAAACCAAACTGAACGATTGTTGTTCTCTGCTTAAAAAAACACTTTAGATTTTAAAATGGAAAATGGAAAATAACATGGATGCATAAAAACCTCATTTTATTTCAGTGTTAAATTCTGTCTAAAGTAACAGATCATTAAAAATGTCTTCAGATCTTTACTGGTTGATGATTTTCTTTATTTGCACCGCGCTGAGTTTTAATTGGTCGCCTCTGGAATAGATAATTCAGCAGCAGATCTGCTGGTTCCTAAACCGTCTGGATTGGTTAGCATGCAGCGGCGGTGCAATGTGTGACAGGAAGTGTCTGTGTTTGAGGCTGCAGGCGTCTCATGCGTCTCTCCTTCCTTGCAGCCTCTCTTTGCCTTCGTGAACCAGGAGAAGTACGCTGAGAACGGCTGGATCGTCTACAAAGCCATGGAGGAGTTCAGGCGGCAGGTACGCCTTGGGAAGGTGGTGGTGAGGAACTGAGAAGCCTTCAGTTGACGTGTCTGTAAACTGTGTCCTGCAGGGTTTACCCAACAACAAGTGGCGCATCACGTTCATCAATAAGAGCTACGAGCTGTGCGACACGTACCCCACCGTGCTGGCGGTGCCTTTTAAATGCAAAGAGGATGACCTGAGGAGAGTGGCTGCTTTCCGCTCCAGAGGACGCATCCCGGTAGGAGCTGCACCAGGGTTACTTTACTGCTGGCATCAGGCTGAAAAACATCCTGATCAATTACCATCATCAACTCCAGAGGGCGCCATTCGCTCAACGTAAACTGGAATGGCGCCGCCTGCTGGTAGAACCACCAGAAAGCCAAACGGCCTTTATTATCCTGAGCTTCCAGTGAGACTGAAGCTCAGAAATGAAGCTCCTGTCTCACCTGGACGGTTTATCCAGCGTCTGCCTGACGTCCCAGATTCTCCTAAACGCTGCCAGACGCTGGACTTTCTATTCTGGGCGTAAACATGGAGAGTAATCAGTTAGTGGCACCAGGCTTGTTAGATCGAGGGTTTAGAAGTTTGATGGTTTTTCTACCAGCAGGAAGTAAAATGATCGACCAATGGAATAAAGCTTTCACTTTCAGAATGAGACTGAAAGCTTTTTATTTTAGGAACTGTATGAATATTAATTGAAGTTGGTGGCCTAAATGCTGATTTATTGGGCGATTATTAAACCAGGCGGGTGAAGTGATTGGTGGGTGTTTCTGGTCCAGGTTCTGTCGTGGATCCACAGGGAGAACCAGGCGGTCATCGTTCGCTGCAGTCAGCCGCTGGTCGGTATGTCAGGAAAAAGAAACAAAGACGACGAACGATACCTGGACCTGATCAGAGAGGCCAACGACACCACCAAGAAACTCACCATCTACGACGCCCGGCCCAACGTCAACGCCGTCGCCAACAAGGTCAGTAGAAGAAGAAGAAGGGGTACCATAAAATAAATGAGGAAATGCTCGACGGTTAGAATAGGGGGCGACGATTTAAACAAACCTTTACCTTTTTTTATACCAGATTATAAACATGCTAATTTATTGTTGGTGCAGATTCTTAAGCTTCCTGGATGGAAGAGAAACGTCTTCAAACTTGGAAACAACGTCCTGTGGATTGATTTGAACTTTTTATTTTAAGTCCCGCCCTTTTTCTTTTTGATCAGTAGGATAAATCAAGGTCTGTTTTTGATGAAGGACTCATGATGTCAGACTTGCTGGGAGATGTTGGGTCTTCTACAGCAGAAATGTTCTTCCTCACACTGAGCCTGGTTCTGCTGGAGGTTTCTTCCTGTTCAAA